ATGATGGAAGCTCAAAGCTCGAGGACGAGCTTACTGTAAGGAATGGAGATGTCGTATCCTCGTTGCGGAGGCAAGAGGAGCCAATCGCCGCATGCCACCTGCTATCCAACGTTTCGTAACTGGCGGCGGAGAGTATATAAGCTGCTGCCAGCCGACAGCAGCAGAATGGTGTCGTCTCTCAACTCACGCTAGGAGTTGGTCGGCTCATCCATATGACAGTCCCGAGTAAGACGTCCATTTACTCATAGTTCATCCAATCCGTCGTAAACGAGATGTAGGTTTCTATATATACATAATAAACATATTATAATTACTATTATTGTCGTTCTCGCTGCTTATCCTCTGAAGCATACTTATAAATCCACTGAACTACCGCATACTCTCTCCTGGCCATACTGTTAATTTGGTTAGGTTTTGTTAATAAATAATTGATAACCACTGAACCACCTTTGTAAGGGAAGTCCAAAGGATTTCCTGTAGCTGGATTAAAATGAAATCCGCCACTAAGTTTGGTGCATCGGCTTAAATTTCCAACAACTTCGAGATGTAACGCTCTCGTTGTGAGATATGCTTACAAACAAACGTACAATTCTCCCGCAGCGGACTTTCCATTGGTCCCAGGAAGTCGCATCCTACTTTTTCGAAGACTTTGGACTCAACTACTCTATCCCTCGGAAGAGATGGAATTTCTGGCGAGCAGAATGGGAGACCATGACATTTTCTGCAGATCACGCAGTGCTTGATGTGGGTTTAATCAATGACGATGGTCGAGGAATCCAAAACCGATGTCTCATTGTTAGTATTTGTTCTCTGCCACAAGGTGTATTTTTATCGTGAATATTGCCCATATCAAATGTCGCCGATGACGCCCCTTCGCCATCTGTCGGGGCCGGGACATACCGTTGTAGTAGCGAGAACAATCGTACTCATTCTGTCTTTTTACTGTTGCTTCTGTGTGACGAGATAAACTCCCTCTCTCCCTCGCTAGCTCTTTCTTATAACTACTCACTGAACCGCCGAATATTCGGCTTAAAAGGGTTAATTAGCCCTAAGTCTCAAAAAGCACCACAAAGTCTGGTGCATCGCCCTAAATAAGCGCTTCCGCGTCAAAGCGTAACAACTTTGGGGCCAGGAGAAGAGACTAGCTCCTCGAGCAACTTCACATTTGGTCAATTCCAAGACAAGAATCAATTGATTCATAAGCCTCCCGTACCAAGTGCTTGGAGCGAATCAGCTACTAGTTTAGCTAATCGGTATTTCAAAAAAGGATTAAATACCAAACCAAAGATAATATATTGGCGCTGCAGTTCCATAAGACGCCCATTGTAGTGAGTGCCCAAACAAAAATTTAGTACTCCGCTACAAGGAGTACACATGAAAAACAGACTTCTCCACAATAGATGAGGAGAATTATGAGGAGTGCAGATCTACGATCGCACTACTATAAAGCGGCCTACAGCAACTCAAAAACGGTGCCGCATCTAAGGGTCCTACAACAGACCGTTCACATAAGTGCGCACAGAGAGAGAGAAATCGCCATAGAATAACCTGGAGAATATCTGTATGCTGCTTGGTGATGCCATACAGTCTCTACATTTCCCAGAAGCAAATCCTGGGAGGCGTGTCTCAAATGTAAGCTGAAAAAAGTCGTGTGCATAAGGAGGGCCAACCAGACAAGACCTCATCAAGACATCTTCATCATGTCGTTCTCCGATCTACAGCAAGCCATTACCGATTTGGACCGCTGCGATATGGCTACTCTACTCCACAACATCCTGCCCAGACTCACTGCGATAGAGTCACCCTGCCAAACGATTTTGGAGCGTACGACTCCAAAATCGAACTGTATATTCTGTACCCTGGACGAGAACCAGGATTCGCACCACTAGTAGATGCAACCGATTCCCAGACGCGGTATCTCGTACAGCCCAAGCGGCTAAGCTGCAGTTGTGTTGTAGATGCCTGAAAACGGGGCATCAAGACAACTACGAGGTGAAGTGTAGCAGTTGTGGTCTCGACCAGAACTTGCTACTCTGTCACCATCGCAGACAGCAGCAGCAGCCGCCACAGAAACGGCAACGTTTCTGATCCCCTTCAACGACCTCAACGCCATACGATGCCTGTCCTCGCCTTCAACAACGCCCCTCCACCAGTCCGCCGCCTTAAGCCACTCCACAACGTCAGCGAACATATCAGCGACTGTGATCTTGCACTAGAATATGATGATTTTGCCAATTTTTTTTCATATTGTCCCCGGAGAGTATCATCGTCGCCGATGATGCCCCTTCGCCATCTGTCGGGGCCGGGACATACCGTTGTAGTAGCGAGAACAGTCGTACTCATTCTGTCTTTTTACTATTGCTTCTGTGTGACGAGATGAACTTTGTGCTCCCTCTCTCGCTCTTTCCTATAACAACTCACTGAAGCCTGCCGAATATTCGGCTTAAAAGGGTTAGATCAACCCTAAGTCTCAAAAGCACCCACAAAAGCCTACAATTAGTCTCGCAAGTTCCGAATCAGTCGGCACTTAAATGGGCGATTTCGTATCTTCCGGTAGACAGACATGCGTTTTGCAGCCTTGATGTGTATCGAATTACACCCCGGCTGTCTCTTTGGAGCTTCTTCTGCGGATATCTCGTTTGGAGATCTGACATGTCGCGAGCGCTCTGCTCTTGTCTCGGGATTGTTTGTTTATTTTTATTTGGAGCTAGTTTTGTCTTTCCACTGATCAGAGTACTTAATTCGCACGTATTATCTGATCGTAAATAGGAGCAGGTCGCCAACGCTATCTCGCTGGCGTCGCAAAATGTCCACAGGCTATAACCAGAGGGCACTCGTTCTGAGGTGCGAGGTATAATTACGGAGATGTTATTGATATCATGGCATGCCTTGACCCATCGCCTGCCAAGGTCCGGCGGTATCTCATCTTTCCATTCTAGATTACATGCGTAAATTTCCCTCATTAGGTGCTTGAGCTTTATGAGCAGAGGTGCGGCCAACCCTATAGGATCATAAATTGAGTTTAGTTGACTGACTATGTCCCGTTTTGTCAACTTTTCCTTTGTGCATATTTTATATCCACGGAAGAATTCATCGGATTGCGTGTTGTAAGGAACTCCTAGGAATTTGATTTTTCCTATTGGGCCTCGGGACTGGCGGCATACTCCGCACATGACCTCGCACTTCGACTCGTGTGCTGGTTTTAAGCACTGCCCGCAGAGCCCCACAACGCCTTCCTGGACCCTGTCAAAGCCGGCCCATTCCTAAAGAAAAGGAAACACTGAGCTCACTGGTGTAGCGAACAAGCAATACATCAACTCTACTCACTACTCCGCCACCCCACTACAACTACTCTACAGCCATCACGTTCGACTCCAATCTCCGACGCCACCAACAACTGCCAATCTACACTCCGCTCCTCACGTCAACCATCGCCCACGATACACCGTCATCAATCAACACGATCAGAGTGATAAAATCCATAAAAAGACACCATAGTATTCACATTCTTATGGTACTCGTTTGTATATGCTACTCACCATGTTCGTATAACTAATTGTGAACTTGAACTCGAATTCCATGTTGTCTTGTAGTTGTTTGCTGGCGTGGGGAGGGTCGCGCACTTCTCCGCGACCATGCCTGACCACCATGTGGTGGCCAGATGTGAAGGGTGGCCCGCCCTTTGCATCGTATCTTACGGGCACTGTCAATAGGAACGCCAGAACAGTCTCACGCTGAGTGCCTATTCTCTCCTAGCCATTACTGTTAATTTGGTTAGGTTTTGTTAATAAATAATTAACAACCACTGAACCACTTTGTAAAGGAAGTCCAAAAGATTTCCTGTGGCTGGATTAAGAAGAAATCCGCCACAAGCTGGAAGCGCTGAACGAATGGTATGAAGTTCATCGTGTCCCTCGAGCACGGTAAACCCATTGGGCAACCCTTGCACGTTGCAGGGACGAGTGGAGATGTTATTGGTGCTTGCTCGAGCAACACGAGGATCAACGAGAGCACAAGTGATACATCCTTGTCCGGCTGTACTTCGCGACATCGAAGGAGCGCAAAAAGGCCTCCCAGTTATTTGAGTCGGCAAGGCACTTTCGCTTCGAATCATTTCCGTAATGGGAACCTTGTCCATCGTTCTTTTAATGGCCTTATTCGACAATGATAAATTAACTATTCTATTTTCACTCTTTAGAATCACTGACTGAATGAATGGCTTTCTGCAACCAACACTTTTAAGTGATGAGCTCTCAAGGAAGCAACTTATCCATAGTTGTTTAAGTTCGAAGGGTGATCAAGCTTTCATTCTATGTGTGTGTGAAGCACTAAAAAGTTGGATATACAAGTCATTCTATGGAGAGGGAAAGGTGGGGCGATGCCGAGGGTCCATGCGAAGGTAGCTTTGAGGCGATGCATAATTCCAAAGCAATATGCCGTGCCGTTCGTCCCGAACCAAAGACTTCCCGAATCGTTCAAGTAGCGCTGAATCAGTTATATTGTGAGAATTACTTTGCAAGAAGTTTTCAGTTTTCCAGAACGATAAGTTACAAGAGCTTCCCTTTTGCAGAGTCCCTGGTGCGTAAGAGACATGATTTATTTTAGCAGGGGCAACTAACTACTCCTTCCCGTCTACCCCATGGGATTACTGTTGTGGACTTCCTCTGAAACTTAAAAAGAATTTCAGATGCTTTTTTTACCAAATGGGTCGAATTGAACGAGGAGTGCGAAAGGAGTTAGCAAGAGGGCCTGAACCGGGGGTAAGCCTTATGTTCCAGTACTGTTGAAGTTCTTTCTCACGTATCCTATTTACTCGTTTTGGTTTTTATAACATTCACTGTCAAACAATAAAGAGTATAAACAAGCATAGAATATATTCAATGTGAACAAAGATTGAAAAAATTTTCAAAAACACAAAACAGACAAAACAGAGTAACAGTAAAAAAAGAACGAAAAAATATAGAAGGTGTTAAACAAAAGTCGCAGTCGCAAAAGAAATATCACGCATTCGCAGTTCTAAACACGTTGAATCCATCAAGAGACGTTGTTACAGCAAATCCATTGATTTGTGGATGCCAATGAACCTCTTTCACCTGAAATGTGTGCTCAGCAGCGCCTTCCTTATTTGCATTAACGAGGCTGACACTCCCTGAAAGGATGACCCATTCAGAAAATCGGTCGACAACGTACCTCCTTTTGCCCAAGGTGCAAAAACATTAGCTGTGGAGGAACGCCTTCGACAGATTCTTGGGAGTCGGCCTCAACGGCAATGTCCCATATGGTGACCTGATCATCCTCTCCAGAGGCCATGAAGCAAGTTGATTCCTAAGCAGTGGCAGCTCGTGAACAGCCAGTGATCATGTTAGAAGGTGGAGCTTTAAGTGAAGCGAACAAATACAGATACCTGTGGCATCCACTCCACTGAAGTAATGGGTCCTGAGTGGTATTTAAACCGTGCGACAGGCTGACCAAACTAAAAAAAGTATGGATAACAAATCTTCAACGCATTCATTGGTTTTATCATAACTGAATATCATGAATCTTTTCTATGTACATTCAGCTGGGCGTTCAGCTGGGCGGTGGCGCCCCCCCCCCAGGCCCCCCCCATGGCGTGCATCGGCTCTGAGGGTGTCATGGACAAAAATTCTTTACACGGTTGTACGGAGAGCGAAGATTGTCTGAGAAGTGGGCAGACCAAAGGCACCAGTAAGGGGAGGGGGCGGGTGCCTTGCTAAATTCAATATTCGGTGCGGGACAGTTTGAAACTGGAACTGTCTCAGGAGCTAGTTTAGGTGAAAAAAACTGAAACTCGATTTCAGAGTGGCCCAAGAAAGAAAGAATTAACGTTAGCAAGGGTTTGGCAATTGAAGCTAAAGAGTGACACCCGTAGCGGGCGCAGCATCTGCTGATGTAGGCGGAGCAAAAGGCAAAACTCACATAGCTTTTCAGAGAAGAAGAACTAATAATAGCCGTGACAAAGAAAATCAGCCCCATGACGGCTAATTTAATAAGTTAAACTATCGAAGTTTGCGCAATGAACCGTGAACAGGCAGTGGACCACCGAGTGGGTAAGTTGTAAAGGGTGGGCACGTTCTTGCAAGATCTACCAGCCATTTGTTTCCTAAATCGTTTTATTTCTTGGATAGTGAGCGTCTACGGAACCAAAATGGGGGGGGGGGAGGCGATTTATAGGCGAACGTCATTGTTGGTGCCGCTGAAATAGGTTCGATTGCCTTCCCCTCTGGATGTTCAATGGATTAAGTGATGAGTCCTATGATTCCACTCCCAGAAACCCTGAGTTCGGCAGTATAAAAATTACTGCTACTCTTTAAATCGTTCACACCAACACTGAGCCTCTCAGAAGCATTCCCTCTTGTAGGTTGAATTGCATCTTGAGCTGTTACAACATTAGCTCTTCAATTGTGCGGAAGTAAAAGGTTTCCGTGAAAACTCATTTTTATCGACACTCCAGTCCAACTTCAGCGTACAAAATCGTTAGAAGTATGATCGCCCAATCACACAGTAGGCCGCGAGCGTACTGCCTTGTGATGAAAGGACATCAATATGATAACCTTCTCATGTGACATTTCAAGCAGCAAAAGGGTGGAATATAAGAGGCACTACGCTACGAACCACAGATAAGAACAAAAATGACCTGAATTGTTTTTAAGGACCAAATCTTCAGCTCGGCATCATCACCTCCTGTTACCAACAGTGGTTCATGCGTGTTCCAGGACAGGACATTCACATCGGACGTATGAGCCTGCAAATATAGATCATGCATAGATAAATTACTCAAGTCGCCCGCTTGCTTTGAATGCCCACTTCAGTAAAACAGTGAGTAAAAAAAACAGCTCTTCTCAAACGGGAAATTGGCATAAGATCATTGCTTGAGTACCTTTTCTACTGTGCATACACATGCATCAGCTGGGCTGGACCGTGTATCCCATAACCTGATAGTTCATCACTAAGAGCACGGACGCCGGAGCAACTTCTTCCGTAGGAGACCAATGCACATCTTCTACGGATCCTACAAACTCATTCTTGATAACAAACAACGGTAACGTTTCAGCCATTCTGAATAAACTATCTCCTGTCCTGTTGGTAGAATCTAAGCAGTGATTTTTGAACCCTTTTGGGGCACAGCAAGCGGGGAAGCTTTCTCTAATCGTTAAAGTCGTTTTACAACTGTTCAAACTGGGGTCGCTTGAAACTTCAGTTTCTTTCAGCTCACGTCTCGAGTCACATCACATCACATCACCTTTTTTCTTTCAAGATTCTAGTAACAGACCTACATAACAACGCAAGCACTGAAGGGGCGACAAAACTTGAAAGAATGCGTAGCGAGCAGTGCCTCCCCTCTAGAGAAAGGATTCGCTACCTCGGGATAATAGTGCAGACAAGCACAAGCAGGCTGCTGCAATCTGTTCCCCCTCCACCCGTTCTTAACGCTCTTGGTGCCCCATGCAGATGTGACATTGAAGTTCACAAATAAAACACCCCTGGGGACAAGTTTTCAGCAAGGTGCCAGACGGCTTTCTTGCCAAGCTACAGCGATATGGTGTTTGGGGGGGGGGTTAATATACCCTAGGGGCCGATTCCCAGACGAAAGTTCTGACCGCCACTTCAAACTGAGGCAGAAAACGTTAAACAGGCCGAGAGTCGCAATAAAGAAACCAAAAAGT